AGACGCGACATGGCAGACGCTGTAGGGAAATGGAAGGACCCTATATACTCAAAGCAGAAAGATGGCAGTAGCACAGAGGTGGGAATCACAGATGTGTGGCTGAGGAAGAAGGGTTAATAACAAGGAAAACAAAGTCCTGGAGGAAGTGAGAACTCAGGTCTGAAAAAACAAAAAGAAATCACACTTTCTCCATGAGAGACTAGAAGGAAGGTGGATAGGTGTGAACACAGAAGCTTGGAAGGGAAAGGAAGATGACAAAAGACAAACGTTTTGTGTAATATGGTGAAATTCAAGTCCAAATGGGCTTTTTTGAACTGTGTTAACCTCACCATGGCGAATAGCAATGTAATGAGGGAATATCATTCACGCACTATTAATACGCACCTAATTGATATCCGAGGTGCTGGACATTTTCTGCGGTTTGGATGCTTATCACCACATATATAGATATGGGTGAAGATACTTCAAATACTTTATAAGATTCAAGAGTATTTTTTTATCTAAATGAATTTTACTGGTGTTTTTTTTTTCCAGATTACACAAGTAATGGATTATAGAGGAACAAGAAAGTGAGGGTCACCCCAAGCCCCAGCATGCAGATATAATCACTGTAAATACTTTACTGCATTAACTTCCAGAGAGAAGAACAAGATGGGAGAAACTGAACAGGAAAGATACACAAGAGGAAGGGAAGGAAGTGGAGGAAAAGGGATTTTACTTTTCCTTTCACCAAAATGGATACATTATCATATGCTGTTTTAGAAGCTGTCATTGTTGATTCCTGTATCATGAAGTTTTTCCACTTTAGTAGATTTAGATAAAGATCACATCTTAGAGAGTATTCTATTGTATGAATATACAATGCTATGACTATTTCTCTAATAAGAGTCAACCATTTCGATTGAGCATCATTTTAGGTCTTCGTACAATGGCTTCTTCAGAATAATTTGAGGAGCTGAAATGTGAGCCATAGTTTATGAACAGTTTTGAGACTTTTGGAACGCAATTATCAAATTACCTTCATTTGAGCCGTAACAGTGTGTACCGCCACCAGCAAGGTGTGACTGCTGCCAATGAACTTCGCAACACTGGAGATCTGCACCTTTTAAAAAGCTTTTCCCACGTGGTAAGCACAAAAATAATGTCATTTGCATATCTTTAAGTGCTAAAATATTCCTATGTTTTTGTTTTTTACAGCTCTTTTCCTTATGAATGTGTTAATCCAGACTTCTGCCCGTTTTTCAATTGAGAGTTAACATTTTTTGATTTTGCTTTTAAGTGCTCTTTTTAAATGGTGGTATTTCATGCTTCACACTATTAATGAATTTAATTCTGGCTTGGAATTCAGCTGCTGATGGAGTAAAACTTGATGAATTTGAACATTTTCAATGTATTCTTCCAGGAGGCAGTGGGACATGCTGTTTAAGTAGATGAGATTTACCAAGACCTGGGCTCAAATCCCTGCCAGTGATAACCCACTAGCCAGGGTTAGGATTAGTATTTCCCCATTACAGAATTGTTGAGAAAATATATGTAAATCATTTAGCACAATGTCTGGAACCAAAGAAACACCCAGTTAAGTTAGCTATTACTGTAATTATCATCATATTTGATCCAGTTTCAGAGATGTCTTTGTTATCATAATAATGTGACCGATTCATTGGGTAAATGAATAATCAAATTTGTTTACGGTCAACCTTCCATGATGGAAAGGGAGGATTTCACATCACTAATACTTCTTCATCTGTCACTATGTTAGGCAATGCGAGATTCCACTGCCCTGAATTTCAAAGATAGTGAGAAGGGGTAGGAAAATCTCTCTCCTCTTGAGTAAAGCAAAATTGCCTCAAAATGTTTGTTGTAGGCGCCCAAGCAGGGTTGCTACCCCCGACTTATTTCTTCCAGGCTGATGTGTTTTTCCTCACAGCAAAAGGTGTTCCCAGAAGTTGATGGATGTGAGGACTGAGAGATGCTCCTGTGCATGTCCACTTTTGCCAGTAAATGTTTACAACAGCTCTTTGCGGCTGGAGAAAGACTGCATGCTTTGTAGAGAGGTTTTCACGTGAGATGTCAAAACTCTGAGAAGTTCATTCTTTTCCTCCTCAGTTCACCACACATCACACTTTGCACGGGAAAGTCAATGAAACTGTGAGTCGATGAAACTGAATGGCCCCTGAAAGGCATTCTTGATCTTATATATATTGTATTTTTATTTCTACATTTGTATTAGATTTATTTTTAAAATTCTGCCTCCTGTACTAGGAAGATATCTAGAGATGCACTCCTTTTGAGAAATACCCCATTGAAAATACCATCTGGCACTTAAAAACTAGGGATGCAAAGAATAATTGTCAGTGTGATTGTCCTCTAGCTGCATTTCTATAATCTATGATTCCTGAGCTGTCTTAAATGGATATTTTGGTAGGATCAGCTTATTGGGTTTTATTCATCTGGACGTTGTCTTTATTAACCAACCACTATGTGCCAGGTGCTGTACTAGAAACAGTGGCTATAAAGATTATTTCTGTTCTCAATGACAGACAACTTTGGAGACAAGACAAAGAAATACCTGAAAAGGAATCTATCGATTAAAAAAAAATATATGCTTAAGTGTTAAATGAGAGTTACAACCACTGGGGGGAAAATCTTACAGGACTGAGTTGTATCTCTTATGAAACAGCATACTCCTGACATAAATCTCATCAAAGTTACAGTTTTAGGGAAGAAACTCAAAGAGCATAGTCTTGGCAAATTTAACAAAAGACCGCCGGCTGGAAATGCCTAGATAGTGCAGCTTCTTGGGACTTCTCACTTTCCTTATGAGATTTGTGGAATGTGTTCTCTTTAGGATAAGATCCTGCCAGGTCCCCTGGAAGCCCTAGGTGGAAGCTAACAATTCTCTTATACCCATAACTACATCACCCAAAAGTTATTTTCTTTTATGGCTGCAGACTACCTTTAGCAAGCCATGCATTTGGATCGAGTATCAGGGGCTGAGTACAATATCTTAGTAGGTCACAGTGCCATCTAATAACATTGCATACATATTATAGAACAATAAAATGCATCACACAGGGACGCCTGGGTGGCTCAGTTGTTAAGCATCTGCCTTCGGCTCAGGTCATGATCCCAGGGTCCTGGGATCGAGTCCCACATCAGGCTCCCTGCTCAGCGGGAAGCCTGCTACTCCTTCTCCCTCTGCTGCTCCCCCTGCTTGTGCTCGCTCGCTCTCTCTCTCTGACAAATAAATAAAAATCTTAAAAAAAAAAAAAGTGCATCACACACACACAGTTGGTTGCGATTACAGAACAATGACTAGCCTGAGGGGCTGTGCTCTGTCATCTCCAATGTCTGGGAGGGTCTGATCACATGACCATGCTTTAGGGGTCAAGAGAAGAGTACTGGTGTCAAAAGGATATGGGCCTGGGGCTAGATCTTGAAATCCAGGTGAAATGTTGGTAAGCACCAAGGGGGCAGGCATCCCGTCTGTTCTGTTCCCCAATTTATCCCTAATGCCCATTTCCTTGACACAGAGTAAACACAGCTTTGAAATCTGTTGTCAGTCTTGATCGAACTGAATCTAATCTAGTTGAATGTGGTGAAGTGTTCTATTGAAGTAAACAGTGGTGACATCTTAAAAACACGTAAGTACACAAACAAGGCCTCACAGATTAACCACTATTTCTGTTTGGACCTTCATAAAAGTGAGTAAATCTTCAAAACAGTGACATTGTGTCAAGATCTAGAATAGTTTATATAATAGAGAATGCAAAATTGTAGGTTTTGATCTGAGATTTTTTAAATTGTAAAAATGTGAACAATGAAATCCATTCATTGAACTGAGAAAATTTTGGTCTCATGTATTTAAAATAATCTCCAGTCTCTATTAACTTATAAACCTTCAGTTCTGAAAGTTTCACTTTCTTTCTATTACCCTTAGCACAATGTCATCTAAGTGTAGGCATAAAAAAATTTGATAGTGAAAAATACCTGGATGTCTTGGGGCAAAATTATTAAGAGATATAAAAATCTCATTTCCTGGAAATTTATTTGTTTTGAATCTTTATCCTGTGAAAGCTGAAGCCTATACTGACTTCTGAATTTGATATATAATGAAATTCTATATGGGTTTTATTTTTTTTATTTTTATTTTTTTAAGATTTTATTTATTTATTTGACAGAGAGAGACACAGAGGGAACACAAGCAGGGGGAGTAGGAGAGGGAGAAGCAGGCTCCCCACTGAGCAGGGAGCCCGATGTGGGACTCGATCCCAGGACCCTGGGATCGTGACCTGAGCTGAAGGCAGACACTTAACCATCCGAGCCACCCAGGCGCCCTCTATATGGATTTTAAATGAATGTGTTATTTTTATTAAAATCCTGCCCCCTGAGTTGAGGTTTTATGGGCAAGTGTGAAGTTAAATTTAAAACTATGACACTGGGGTGGAATGAAAGGTGCACTTTTTTCTGTTGCTTCCTTTTGACATCTAACAGGGATAATACTGATTGCAGAGATTCTTTCATTTCTAGCAGACTAAAACATATTTTATGCATCTACAGTTTCTGCCATGCCTATAATTTCTAGTAAATATCTTTATTTTTCCTTTAATTGCTGTTTATGTATAATGGAAAGGATAAGTATAAATATTTCACATTGAAAAAAAATCTATGGAAGTTACAAATTGGATACTTTCCCTCTGGTTTCAGACCATTCTACATACTGGAAGTATATTTATACATGCCTGTCTTTTGTTTTTACCTAGAAGTATGATTGCAAATAATTAAAATACCAAAAACAAGAATATAGGTCACAGATCAGAAATTGATGTTTACTCTGTGAACCTGAAATGAACTTTGGCTCTTTTTTATCCTTCCAACAATACAGCCATGGTTAATTGTCTACAACCCTTGCATGCAGTATCATCCCTGGGAAAACGCCACCACCCCGTTCACTGTCCCCACCCTCCAAACACACACACACACACACGAAAGCAGCCAAGTTTCTGTAATACAATTTTTATTGGTAAATCCACATTTCTTAGCTTAGAGACATATTTTGTAGACTTTTTCCTTTCCAATATTTAGACTGCCAAAAAACAAGGAAAATGTCATTGGACTGTAGCCATGTTACAATTTTACCTAATGCTTATGAAAGCACCAACACACCAGATTCCTGGGATAGGCTTTGGCATGAAGTGTAATCACCACATTTAGTTTCAAAGTTCAAATGCTCATTCCTGTTATAGATAAGCAGGTACCCACAGGGCAAGGCAGGATAGTTACTCTAGCTAATGACAGAATGGGGGGTGGTAACAGCCTTTCCTGGAGGACTGGGTGGTGTTAGCTTCAATCTCACCCACCTTCTTTCCTGAAACAGGACTGGGCCAACTGGCCTAACAGTCCTCTACAGATTGGCCTACGCTGCTGGAACATTTGCCTTCTTCCTCTGAAAGTTTGCCCTCTTTTCTCTGAAACTTCTACTAAATATTTTTAAGTTCCACCTGATTCTTTGCTCTGCCATGAATGAGCTGACTTAGCTATGAAATTTTATATGGAAGTTACTTACCTCATTTAAGAAGTACTGATCAGAGGCATGGCAATAAAGTTAGGGGAAAATAAAGGTTTTGCTTTGCATATGAAAAACAAAGAACAGCCTTCATTGTAGATAGTAGGATGAAGACATTTTCATATATAGCCATGTGAATTTACCATTCAAATTGGGGGACTGGAGGCCAGTCACATGTTTTAAAATGATGAAACAGTCAAAGGAGAGGTCTCTTTCAAGACAAAAAAAAAGGAAATACTGTGTAAGAGCAAGTGAAAAAAACAAGCTAAGTAGGAACAGATGTGGATGCTTTTCACTTTAGAGTCAGCATAGCATTAATAGTCTGACTTTTAAGAGCAGGAGATGATTATAACAAAGCAGGAAAAATAAAGTAGTTGTATATCATAAGTTGGTCATAGCAACACTTGTAGAAAATATCAGAAGTAGGAGTAAATGGGAAAATGCCAAAGAGTATCCATCCAAAGGATGTTAGAATGTCCTTTCCTTTCCTGTTCACCTGAAGAGCTCCAATTCGCATGAAGTTCTAGCCCAAATGTTACCACCTCTGAGAAGTCACTGCCGAAACTGTCCAACACCACCCAGTGTCTCCTCTGTCCTCCCTGGCACCTTGCCTATGACTCCATTTAAACAATTACCACCCTTTAGGGATCATCTACACTTCTGCTCCATCCTCTCCCTCCCTAAACTCTAAGGATTATTACTTGTCCTTCTTTGTATTACCTGGTGACTGGCAAAGGGGAGAGACATCTACCCATTTAATTAAGATCTGCTAAGATGCTTTACATAGAGGCAATCATGTGTCTGCATGTATTTTGAAGAATATATAAAAATCAATGAGACACTTCTATAAAGAAGTAGATATCCTTCTGCTAAGTGCAGATAAAAAGCTTAGATATTATATATATATATATATATATATATATAAAAGATATCCTTCTGCTAAGTGCAGATAAAAAGCTTAGATATTATATATATTCGGAAGATTCCGAAAGGTAGAGAGAAGAAGGCAGGCAGGCTAGGGACCTTGGGACCCAAGGGACAAAACTGTGATGAGTTCCCCCGAGTTTTTGCTTTTTAGCTCATATGTCCCAGACTTGAAGCTGAAGACATCACAACCTGTGAAATGCCAACAGAGCAGGTGAAAAGAAGTCCTAAGAAAGACCTGCTCTCTAGCCAAAGGACTGGAAGAGGAGTAGCCTAGCAAGAGAGAAAACAGTAATTGCAACCAGGCCAGCAAAGGCCAAGTGGGGAGCCTGGACTTCCAGCCTTGACAGTCTGTCATGAAGTACCTTAACTCCCCTGACAGGGTGGTATCTGAGAAGGTTGAGCAGGCAACTGGTCATTTCATCCCCACTTGGTCATAATAAAGCCTTCCCAGCATTCCTGCCCAGTGTCAGTGGACGCCACAGGGGAGCAGTGACAAGGCCCCCCTGCACACCGCAGCCAGGAAGGCATCAATGGAGGCCCAAGGGGGAGCGGAATCCCCACCCTGCACAGCAGCGACAAAGGTCCCATCTCGCCCCAAGTGTCACTGGAGGCTGAGTGGGAAACCTGGACTCATAACCACACCTTGGAAGAACTAGATAGTGCCCCTAAGTCCCCCACTAGGCTGATGTCAGAGAAAGTCAGCTAAAACAGAAGGTTTAAATAAGATCCATAGTCACATAACACCTAAAATATTCAGGTTTCCACTGAATATCATTCATCATGCCAAGAACCAGAAAAATCTTTTTGAATGAAAAAAAGACAACAGATGCCAACCCTGAGATGACACACATGCTGGCATTATTTGAAAAGAATTTTCCAACAGCCATCGTAAAAATGCTTCAGTGAGTATTTATAAATTGCATAGAATAAATGAAAAAATAGAAAATCTCAGCAAAAAAATAAAAATTCTCAGCAAAGAAATATATAAAGAAGAACCAAATGGAAATTTTAGGAAAAAAACCAAACAAACCAGTAACTGAAATAGAAAAATCAATGGGTGGGCTCAACAACAAAATGGATTAGAGAAAGAAAATAATCAGTGAACTTAAAGACAGAACAATAGAAATGACCCAAATTGAACAACAGAGAGAAGACAGACTGGAAAAAAGCAATGTACAAACCCTCAGGGCCCTATGGGACTAAAAAAAAAACAACAAAACTTTCTAAATTATTAAATAATTTTTAGATACAAATCATATTATCTAAAGGATTTTGTGGCCTGTAGTCTGTTGAAGAATGATCATCCTATGAAGGACAAATAAAAATTTTTGGTGGACTAATATAACACCTTAATCAAACCCACGTAGCCTAAAAGCGAAGGAAGCCTTTGAAGGTTCACAGGTTGGGACTAAGAGGTATAGTCTATGCGGTGGAGAGGTCAGGTTCATTTATCATGACCACCAAGAAGATGTAAAGCAATGGTTATGCATTCTTTCCAAATCTATGGAACTTCAAAACGAACAGCTCAGCATAGTTCTGCTGCTGGTGGGGTCATTTTTGTGCATAGAGGAAAACATTCCTACCATCTTGATGAAAAATGCCACCATGCGTGTGTTGACAAGTTCTCTGAAGTTCCACCAAGACATTTTTAATAGTCTAAAATAGCTACTTTTAGAGCTATTTTCAACCTATGTTAATTACCAGTGAACAGGATGGGAATATATTTCTTTTTGTGCAAATACAGAATAAAATTTTATAGCAGGTAGAGAGACTCAATTACTCAATTCACAGATCTTCCCTCAAAGTTTAACTTGTTAAAGACATTAAATCTGAAGAAGCCCAATCACAAAACAAAAACAAAAACAAAACAAAACCCACAGGATCGCATATTTTGTCTTTTGAATGGGTGTCGGCAAAGACAGAAAGAGGGCCTTAGAAATATTTTTTGCTTCTACTAATTTTTTCAGTTAAAACTAAAATGAATGGAACTCCAAGTCAGAAAGAATCCAGAATCACCTTTAAGTCCTTGTGAAAATACTAAGGTAACACAAACTATTCCAATCCTATCCATTAGTGTCCTGGTGGCCAGTTCCAGAAAAGTTTATTAGTGAAAATAAAATTCAAATATCTGGTGTCCAGACAAGTTTCACAGCTACTTCTGCCCTTAAGAGAAGTAGAAGAGCAGTTTTAGGAATGGTCTGTCTTTATTCCCCAAATTGGAACAACTCTTACACATTCAAACATGTGCGAGGCTCAATAACAGTATTTTTCTACTGCCGGGCGGAAGCCGTGAGGTTCCCTGAAACAGTTTATCACAGAGGATTCTCAGCTCTAACTCTGGTCGGCAGTTTCCAAACAAGGCGACAGCGTGAATAGAGGACTGTATAAAATAAAAGGTTCTTTCAGAAACATTTATGGTGTGTTTTTGGAATAAAAAATATCAGTCTTCTTGGTTAAAGGTTGGCAACTGTGTTTTCAACTTTAGAATGTCTGAAATTGGCTCTTTCCTTTCTTGATAGAAGCTGAGTCCAGTGATGTGTTCAACATCTGTGATCCGAGCTCTGTGTAACCTCAATAACTCTTCCACCCACGAAGACTCATGCTTCCCATGCTATAAAGATGGGGGAAAAAGAAAAGTCACTGGAGAATAGTCAATTCACTTTCCCTACAAGCACTCCAACTTCCCATTTCAATGACTTACGACCCTCTGGCTCCCAAATGGCAGATGCTACAAGCTTTGTTAGGCATGATCCCTGCTCTGGAGTAGCTCACCATCTGATATATATGATGCGTCTTTGTTTAATTAGATGTCTCAAATTTGGGAAAGGGGAAGTATAAGTGGAATACATTGGTGCAAGAAACTTCAACAGAGTGAGTTTAAAAAAATGTTGGAAAACACAAGCAATGTGGCATGGTGGAAAGAACATGGGATGAGCAGAAAGAAAGTCAGATTTAAGTCTGGGTCCTATCATTACCACACCGTGTAAACTGAGGCAAATTATTTAACATCTGAATCCTGATTCTCTTACCTGCACCCTCCTTACAGGGTTGTTTTGAGGATCAGATGTAATGCTGTGTGCAAATGCACTATGAAAACACCCGTTCTTATCAGAATCAGTTATTTACATGGTTGCAATGAAGAGAGGGTTGGGGGATGTGGTAAAACACAATTTCATTTCTAGGGAGGTAGTGAAGTCTCAGCTACTAGGAGATCAGACAAGGAGTAAAGGCACATGCTCCAGCACATGGAAGCAGAGCTGGTAGCTGAGGCAGGTAACAGAGATGGAAATCAACATACACTCATGTGTAAGTATACATTTTTCTGAATATGGCTCCTGGAGAAGGTCAGATGAAGAAGGTATCCACTGGTTGGTGGGCTACGATTGTACTTTAAAGACATCCTCCAATAAAGATTTCTGTACCCTTGGGACAATATTAGTTGGAAATGATAAATATAGACTTTCCACATAAAAGGGAAATGGACCAATAATTTCCATTTTCCCATTAGCCTCTAATCATCACTATACCCAAGGCTACTTGCTGCCCCCCCACTCAGTCTCTTTCTCTGCAACAATCTTCACTCTGGCTCTCGGAGGAATAACCCTGCCTCAGTGGACTGCTTGGCCAGTAGATATTTTCCATCTGTCCCAACACACACAGGAATAGATAAAAAGTACAGGCAAGACATCTGATGTCTCAGGCTAACATCCTGCTAATCTTTAGTTGCTACTTCAGAGATGAAACAGAAGGAATCAGTCAGTATGTGTGATATGTCTTCAAATCCTCTCTCTGGTTCACGTCCAATATTTAGTGTCTTCTAGGTAAACTGCTATTATAGAATTTGATAAAATGTTTGCATTTAAGATATCGGCACAATAGCTTTTGGAATGGTGGAAATGGAAAAGGAACTCAGCGCCTCACTCACAATACCTGACATCATTCTGGTCAGGGAGACGTATGCATAAGTCTCTTTGGGAGGAGGGCCCAGAATTCAGACATGATATCTAGAAAAGCAGAAACCATCACATGCCCACATGTGCCACATGCTAAGAATAGTGGCAAAGGAAGACAGGAAAGGTCTGGGTCCCTAATAGTGCTATTGACCCAAGACTGTCTCCTTCTGGGCATCCCATCACACCAGGTACCCATTAATTGCTCAAGTCATTGTAAATGGGTTCTTCATTATTTGCTGAACACAACACTAACTGATAACTTTGGTGACTATTCAATCTCTTGAGGAAGAGAAAGCACTGAAGAAGGGAACACTTGGTATGTATCCAACAGTGTCCACAACAGTGACCAGCTGGTAGACACACATGCCCAATAGGCATCCAAATAGGTAAAGTCCTGCTATTCCGTACCTACTTCTGAAGCATAAGGAAAAATAACTTAATGAGAAATATATTCTACGAGGACTGGGCGATTAATTCTCAGTTTATCAGAGAAACAAAGAGTGAAATATCTTCATGAATTTTAATGAATGACACATAGACTCCTAGATCAGGGATGACAGTGGATCTCTGTATTCTACTCCTGGGCCCACAGCAGAAGCTACTGTCTGTTTTGTTCACTGCTGTGTGCTCTGTACTAAGAGTACCTGGCAACATATATTTATTAAAGGAATGAATGCCTGGATCCAAGAAGGGATAAAGGAATAAATGCAGGGAGGAATGAATGAGTGATCACAGCACTCCCTCCTGCTGAGCTCAGATGGGGGCCTCAACATCCTTTTGACTACAGGACTCCAGCTATCCACCACCCCTTCAATGAGGCTGGTGAGAAAGCTACATCACTTCGCAAACTTAGGTCTACACTTACATTCTGTAACTTCAACAGACAAAAAAAGAAAAGTGAAAAAAAAAAAACCTAAACAACTAGAAAATCTGGGAAGTACTCTGAAAGAAAAAAAAAATTGGCTCACCATAAGGAAAAACTTTAAAATTCCTAAAATTTTAATACAGTCTTGATGTTCAAAGACTAATTTAGTTTTCGTTTTGTTTTTTTAATTCTGAGCAAATAAGAGAACATAAAACAATTACTTCCAAACACTGAATGACAATAGAATAAGAAAAGATAATTAGGGACAAACATGATTTTTATAATAAAGTGATATATAGAAAATTAATCTGAAATACTACCTAACCATAACTTTAAGACTAATTTATAACAGTGCTAACACTTGGGGAATTATAAATCCAGTTTTGAAACAAGAGTAAATTCATAGTTCAAATAAACCTAGAATTTAGTGGCTAAGCCATAAGCAGGCACTAAGTTTTTACATTTTGATTTGTTTTTTTTGTGTTTTAACAGACAAGGGTGGTCTTCTCCAAAGATACATCCATCTCAGAGTATCAAATTTAAAACCATCCTGCAAAGTACATGCAAAGCACATCTTTTCAAAGTATATCCTTTCAAAGTTCATCTTCACATTCTGTTTTCCCCCACAGTAACGTCAGACATGGACACACAAATATATTCTTATTTTCAACGTTTAAGGTAATAAATGAACAGAGGCTACTTACCACACAGCTCTCACTGTTGTCAGTCCTGTGAGGCAAAATGAAAGCTAAGCTGTCTAAATCATCACACTGGGAGGGAGTCTGGAATGTGTTTTTACAACTTGTCAGCACAATGAAGAAGTGAGTTGGGATCAGAATTTCTTGATTACGGATGAGTCTGCTGTTTCTGGAAAATACGGCAATCTTCACTTTAAGAAAGAAATAACTCTCTTCTTTTTAATGAAGATTTCAGTAAAGTATATTTTTAATACAATGCATCTAAAAATGAAATTTTATGATTAGTAATCATAATACCTCAACGTTCTGCCAAATTGAGAGAACGAATTAGAAGACAGATAAACACAAGCCAAATAATTTTTATTTTCTATAAAAATTTATTGAACTTCAGATTTTTTTTTTTTTTTTTAGTTCTACCTTAAGACACTGGAAGGACTTGAGACACTAAAGAAAAAAACATATCATTCTCAAATACCTACAACCAAGATTCTAAAGCATTATTGACCGTCTTCTCAACTCTAGGCTGCTGTGCACAGATGGTAAACAGAGAGGAAACTGGTGTGGGATTTTTTCTATTCCAGCCCCTCCGGAGAAGTCCTGTTTCTGTGAACTCGCCTTTGTTTTAAAAGGATTTCCTTTCTCATCCCAGTAACTTCTTTTAAATTGCAGCATATTCTCCGACATGTCCCAAGTAATATTTTACCTCGTCTTAATTCTATTTCCTTTGATCTCAAAGCTAGTTTATTTATTTGTTTTTCAGCATCTTTCCAAATTTAAGGCAGTGGGAGCACTGTCCCCAGTTATAATCTTATGTGGAACCATAATATGTAAAACTGATTAAAACAGAGAGCTCTGGTGGGATGTGAAAGGTATGAAGTTCTCTTCTTTACCCATTCTACCGCTGTGACCTCTGAGGCAGTAGGTTGGGACCCTTATGCCTCAAGGGATATAGTAAAAACAACAACAAAAACCCCACAACCCTGTCATTTGACAAACTACTGTTTGTAAATTACACAGTACAAGCTAATGTCTCACAGATATACGTGTGTGAACAGTAATCCCTGAGCCGCCTGAGAAAGCAGTTCTTGGGAAAGAGCTGAACATCAGCAGACAATTCATTCTCTTTTTCCTGTAGCCTTAATAGCAATATTGCTTCAAAAAATCATGCTGTTATTAAGAAAGATCAAATGGCTTCTAAAATGTTCTGTCACTCTACTTTATAAAACTAGTACCCACTCATGGTTTCTTTCAAGATGTCATTCAATCTCCCTCTAGGCAAGGCTGGGTAAAAGCTGTGACATTCGCCCAAGGCCTACGCTTGGACACTACAGCTTTATAACCCTGCTGCTTCTTCCACTCAGGATGCCTCTAGCCACACCACATGGTTCTTTATCTTCCAACCAGCAGTAGTTAATGAAGACAGTATCTTAACAATTAGCTACACACAGAGATTTTAAACATGGATGTTATCTTCTTAACATATGGTAGAGTTCAGTGTTTAATCTGAGCTCAAGAATTACTCATCTAAGATGAGTCGAGGAGAAACACTCCTTTCCTCTAAAAAAACATTCCACTGAACACTGAGCAAAACATCAAAATTAATCAGATATTTCAAGGGGCTTCCAGTGTAATCAGAAATGTCATGTCTGTTGGGCGCCTGGATGGCTCAGTCGTTAAGCGTCTGCCTTCGGCTCAGGTCATGATCCCAGGGTCCTGGGATCGAGTCCCACATCGGGCTCCCTGCTCGGTGGGAAGCCTGCTCCTCCCTCTCCCACTCCCCCTGCTTGTGTTCCCTTTCTTGCTGTCTCTCTCTCTCTGTTGAGAAATAAATAAAATCTTAAAAAAAAAAAGAAATGTCATGTCCATCAATATGAATAGTATCAGACAGAAAAGGCTCCGCAGACTCAACTGGATGGTAATCCCAAGTGACAGCTGTTTTTAAGAGTAAATGAAGTATGTTCTTACCCCTTCAGGGTGTCTGAGGAATCATAACATCCATCGTAATCAGAGTCAAACACGGGACCGCTGACAACATTGACGCCATTTCTTTCTTCCGCATACCTCTGCAGAAGGGTGCCGTGAAGGTAGCGCCATATAACTAAAACAAGGAGGTACCATGCTGTCATGTGAAATAACTCAACAACCTTATTCAAAATTAGCATTTGTAATAATTACAGACAAAGTCAAATTTGGCTTCGGTCTTAGTGTGAGGCCAAAAATCCATTGTTCAGCTTTGGCAGAAGAGACAAACATTGAATTCAACACTATTTGGGGCAAAGAGACAAACATTGAATTCCACACTATTTGGGGCATCTCTGACCATGTGCATCAGCATGAATTTGGATAACAGATCATCATTAGGCATAAAAAACCATGAACATAAACAAAAAAGGCAGGTTATTCAGATTTACCGTTAATATCTGAATATTCCCTTTGAAATATTCACAATGATTCTACACGTAGATTAGAGTAAAAATCTCCTAGTATACTCTATATTTTGAAATTCTATATGTCACTCGAAGAATAATTTAAATTTATTTTTGTAAGAGTACCAAATACTGTGATAATTAATAAGGATACAAAAATCTATTCATTTCAAGATCAAAAACAATTATCAATAACTTCCAAAACTTAAATGGGAAACAAATTGGAAGTTAATGTGTTAGTAGACTATATTAGCCAGATAACTTAGGAAGAATATTACATACTTTTTCCATCAAAAAATGTTTATAAACATGTAAATACAAAGTAGAATAATAGGTATTGGAATATGTCATAATTCTAATAGTTGTAGAATTTCTATGTACTGGTATTGTCAAAGTTAAGAATGTATAAAAATGTGTACCTCTGAGAACATACACCTATAAAAACATGTTTGATAGTCATTTAATTTAGAGGATCAGCCTTATTAATGTAAATTATACCTATAATATACAGAAAATTCATTGAAAGTGTGAGATAAAGAGTTAAAATTTTTTACCTTGAAAACTCTGGTACATTGGCACTATATTAGTATTCAGCAATGCTTCAGAATATAGTTGATTTGAACCTTTATTTAGTTCTACAAAGAAAATTAAAAAAAGACAACTATCTCATTCTTCATGAATAACATTAGAAATTACACTTTCTCATGGGAGGGCATTTTAAAAAATTAGCTGAGTATCACCTTAAACCCATAAAACATTCCTAGGTATGGGGTCAAGGGAAAGTGCAATGTGTTTGGTCAAGTCCCTTAAAAAAAGCAAAATATTTAGATCTCGTCTTCTTCAAGATGAATTTATCAAAGAAACAAAAGCGTAATAACAGCCCCAAATTAAACATATTCAAATTTTACCTTATTTGCCCATTTCAACCAAAACTGTTTTGTGTTGACAACCCTCTTTCCTTAAACTCTTCCACAGTGAGAAGAAAAAAGAATATCTGGCTTCAGAACACCTACTACCCAGAAAAAACATCGCAGGATGTCTGCCTCAAAATGCTGTACAAGGCTCCTTTGTATGGATTTTCGGCTTGGGCCTGGTCTATTTTTATAAAGCAATAGCCAAGCTCTGACTTCAGACACTTACTCCGGGGACTGGACTGGATATTGAGAATATTTGAGCACCTGGAGCCTTCTGGTTTTTGCCTTCTAAGGCCAGCCTCAGAATGTCTTCTCATTAACACACAAATTTGCCACATTAGAAATTGAACACTTAACCTCAAAAAGAAAAGAAAGCTATTCCCTAGCGGCTCCATTTCTGTGAAAGAGCAAGCACATTTAGGCTCTGCCTACCCCTAGTTCTTTGACAAATTACATCTTTCCTTTTTTAAAAATTTTTATTTATTTATTTGAGAGAGAGAGAGCATGAGTGACGAGCAGGGGTAGGTGGGTGGGAAGGGCAGAGGGAGAGGGAGAAGCAGGCCCCCTGGTCCCTGGGACCCTGGGATCATGACCTGAACCAAAGGCAGATGCTTAATGGCCTAAGCCACCCAGGTGCCCCTACATTTTTCCTTTTAATAAACAAAATATCTCCTTCTAAGAACCCTGATATATCCTTCTGACCCAAGCTTTCTCAAATTCTGTGTAAAAGAAATGTAGAAAAGTAAAGAATGTCCTATCTACAGCGTCTGCACTAAAAAGACTACCCTCCAAACAAAAGCAAAAGTTTTCTAAAATTCAAACTTTAGACACTTTAAAAAGTTTCCCTAAGAGTTTTACTTCCCATTCACCATTTCCACCAAGTAAAAAAACAAGATGATGTACCAGGCCTCATAAGGAAAAGAAAAGGAAGAGAGAAAGAGGCCAAGAGAAAGGGAAGGACAGGGAGGTAGAAACTTACGTGGTGGGTAGAGGAACCCATAACTCAGCTCAGCGTTATTTTTATAAAATGAACACTTATGTACAGGACTAAGAGAAATTCGAAGATCCTGGTAAAGACAGTTGGAAATGTCTTCTGCAGAGAAACTGTCCTGGAAAACAAAATGAAAAGAGCCATCAGGTGTCAGGCATACAAAAGGAAAGAAGATTGCTTTATGAGTAGCTGAAGATGAATCACACCATACGATCATAGAGCTCTAGCTGTCCTTCACCATTTTCCCATTTTTCTAGCAGTATATTGATCTTTTTTCTAACTGAAATGCAAAAACTCTTTACGCTATTAAGGATACTTGTCATTTATCATGTATGTGCAAATATTTTCCTATTATGCTGGGCTAAGTTTGTGTATCATGTTTTTGCTTAGTCAACTGCAAACTTTTATGTAGCCAAATGCTGATTTGGGGGGACCCAAGTCTATCTTCCATACACAACTGCGCAGACTAAGGCTGAGGGTGGGGAGCCACTGAATAGCAGTGCAGCATGGAAACCTCAGGAGCACTGATGACTGAATTTATGCAGCACTGATTACAGAAGAAAACCGAACATTTGAACAGAATTAAAGAACACTGTAATTAAGGCATGAAACAACAGTAAATCTGATGGGGACCTATAAAACACTGTGCAGACTCCTATATATCACAAAGTCAAGTAAAAAATGTGTTTACACTGTTGTAAGATAGTCTTCAAAATTAGAACAATCAAATTTATGGTAGAAACTTTATGGAATTATGTGACTATGTGTGGTACATAATATATATATTTGTAACAGAGAAATTACATATATACCCGCACATATCCCTATCTTCTTATTTCGCTTTCTCAGTGAGTATTAACAATAGTTTTATTTTTTAAATCCAGCTGCTACACTCAATTAAGCTCTCTCAAATCCCCTTTTCACCCCTTAAGGGCATCCTGTAGCTTGCCAGGCATTCAGTTCCTGAAAATCTGGTTGGTCTAGTTTAAAAACTTCAATTTGATTAAAATCTAAATCTTCTCCCCTTCCCCATTCTCTCTTTCAAGGCCTGGCTTCTGTTACTCTTTCTACCAGGGCAGCCGGGGGCAGAGGTGAGGGGGAATGGTGGTCTTATTCTGCCTGCTCCCCCCCCCCGCTCCAACTCTTCTCAAGGCCTTCCTGTGTTTTGGGAGGTGGACAGATCCCCGGATTCTCTCTGGTCTGGTTTGGGGGTCTTCCTGTAAGTGGTATATGCAGGGAGGTTACTGAGCTTTCATGGCCTTCCCCATCAGTGAGGACCCCCTCAGGTGAACGCCGCAGAGGAAAATCCTTGTGCTCACACATCTATGTATTTAGAGAAGAATCACTGCGCCTGACTGCAAAATTGATTCCATAAAATTATAAAATCAGAATCTTAAAATATTAATACAAACAAAAAGCAAGAGAGAAACTTTGAGTGCCTGCACATCCCTCATTTCACACAAGAAGAAATCCGCTCTGAGTCTCAAAGTCACATGGCTAGTTCGTGGCAGAGCCAGAACCAGAACCTAATCTTCTGACTCAGAGTTCAGTGATCTTCTAATTCAGGAACTGATGCTAGAGCCAAGATTAATTGACCCAAACTAACTCTGCTTTCGATGTTTTGCTTAATGATAATTTGAAATAATTACACATAGCTAAAGAGGCAACCAATACTTGCATTTCTGTGGACGGTGTAAGAGGTCCAAAGGGGCATCAGGAAGTCATGGCTATAACCACTCATAAACTGGTGCTGGTAGAGAAGACAGACCGAGGTGTTCGTCTGGAGAACTCTGGGTCTTCCATAAGGTAAAGTGCTGCGCTTAATAACCTTCTCTTGGGTTGTAGGGGAAAAATGAAACCACCATTCAAACATACTTACTGTGAATTCTATGACAATATATAATGATATATTCATCCAATTCTTTCCTCTACTTAACCCTATTGAAAAGTTATTTTTAACTGTAAAAAAAAAAAGCTAATTACAAAGAGCAGAACCATAAGCAATTAACAAAAGAGGTTCACTATAGTTTTTGCCTATGAAGATTCTGAAAGATCAATGTAATAGCAAGATATCACAAGAGGACACACTATGTGAGATTGCTAGAAATTTCAGCATTAGGACTTAAAGAATATTGCTAAAATTCTTTAAACATTATTTTAATGATTTTTCTTCAGGGAAAACTCCAGACAGAGAAGTTTCTGGATGATATGGATGCTTGGAAAGCAAAAATTCACAACTAAACTTATGAGACTGAGCTGAATGAAAAAGTAATAGTATAGACCATTAATTGTACTTCTTCCAAGTGTCAAGTGCTTTGTAGAGTCCTTTGTATACATCATCTAATTTAATTCTTACATAGCCCTATGAATTAAGGTCATACGCCCATTGTACAAAAGAGAAAACAGTAGTTTACAGAGAGTGAATACTTTTTCCATGGACATATAGTTCCTACACTCATATTCAAACACAGATCAGTTCCAGAAGTGTCATCCTTCACCACAACACTCTGTCATCACAGGGTCATCAAAGATTTCTCTAAACATTTAGAGATTTTATTTTGATTTGATTTTATTTTTGAGAGAGAGGGAGAGAGTGAGAGTGCATGTGAACAGTGGGAGGAGCAGAGGGAGAAGGAGAGAGAGAATCCCAAGCAGATCCACACCCAGTGTGGAGCTCGATGTGGGGCTCGATCTCAGGACCCTGAGATCATGACCTGAGCTGAAATCAAAGAGTTGGAGGCTTAACTGACTGAGCCACCCCAGGTGCCCCACATTTACAGAGATTTTATATAGACAAATTCAACTTGGGAATTATGCAGAATTCACCTTTTTATTCCAGAAGGAAAAAACTGAGCCAAGTAACTTAAGGACCAAAGACTATATCAAAGTGTTTCAGAGAATATATCGAAGTGTATGAGAGACCATATCAAAGGGATGCTAAACATCCCAGTCACAACTGACAAATGTTAGCAGTTGTCTGAATAGTAAGCCTACTTAATCTTCACTCAAAAGTTACGAAGAAATAACTTTAGATAAATAAGCTAATTTATATTCTCTTATAATGAACTAAGAAGCAGGTGAGACAAATTTAACAGGTGTTTATAATGGACATCTGAAGATCTCTTATAAACCTTTAAAAATCTTCAAAATCTCAAACCACCTCCACTATGTTCGTAAAAAGTAATTCAGCTTCCACTAAATATACAATGTGCTGTAAATATCCCTTCTTTCCTTATGTCGAATAGTCTAGACCGTCAAGCAAAGACATCTCCATGTTTCCTCAGGTTGACGGTCCTCCACCACTACTCTTAGGTTATTGGTTGTTCTCAACTAATGCCCCAAACCAATGTTCTGTGGTTCACACAGTTGAGAAAAAGCCTGCTTCCACATTCCAAGCTCAAGGGTAAACATGCCTTACCTTCTGCCACAGTCAAATTCAACTGTATCTCAAAATCCACAACTGGCAAGACCTAAAAAGATAATAATACGATTTTAAGCAATGAGAGACATGAGGTTTGGTTTTGTTTTATTTTTGTCTTGAGACATGTTTTTTTTTTTTTTTTTAAAGATTTTATTTATTTATTTGAGACCGAATGAGAGAGAGAGAGAGAGAGCACATGAGAGGGGGGAGGGTCAGAGGAAGAAGCAAGCTCGCTGCCGAGCAGGGAGCTCGATGCGGGACTCGATCCAGGGACTCCAGGATCATGACCTGAGCCGAAGGCAGTCGCTTAACCAACTGAGCCACCCAGGCGCCCCTTGAGACATGTTTTAATCTCGTAACAAACAACTTCTACAGCCTAATTATTCCATCATGGAACAAAGATAAAGCCATCTTGTACAAGTCAAACTTATTTTTTTGACAAAGAGGATAAAAGTTCGGATGACATCTGCAAAAAGACAAAACTATTACCCAAGCACAACACTATGAATGAAAAGAATCGCTGCATTATAATTTTTATCACTACTCTTATAGTCTTTCTATCAGCCTAAAACAAAATGGAAAGCATAAAATCAACTGCTCCCCAGATCTTTAAGGACACTATCAGTTTTGTTCACTTGTCACATAGTTTCATCTTCTTACAACTATATGTTAAGATGGGAGTAAAAAAGAAACAGTGCCATATTCCATTTTATACCCCCCAAAAATGTGATTTTCCCTCTAAATTTAAAATTAATTGAGAGATATTTTAGAGAAAGAATACTGTGTTTGGTTGATAATCAAGACCTCACTGCTAGGATAACAGCACAGATTCCATGATTCAGGATCCTCCAGGACTCAGCTGGACTTCTCCCAACCTGCACCCAAGTCAAGTCACAGCACCAAGGGATAAAGACAGAGGTGAAAATGCAAAAACTAGGAAGAGGAGAAATAAACAATAAAAGGGTGGCATGTGTTCCATCAGAATTAAACATAAATAGATATTTATGCCCACTCACAGATTTTAATTTGATCATTAAGTGTTTCTATAGCATGAGCTACGCAGAGCGTGCTGTAAGATCCAACTGGGCTACACTTTGGTCAGTACTTACTGAGGGATGGCACGAGCAGTCAAGGTTACGTCTGGGGGTTCTTGTGAAGGGGCACGGTACCACGGGGTGGACTTCTTTGGGATTCTTTGGGGTGTAAACAGGGTTCTTTAGAAGGTGGTTAAGACTTCCATGAGTTCCGTTATTAGAAGCAGGTGTCAAATTCAGTAAATCTGCGTAATTCCGAGAATGGTAAATGGTTACTTAGAGGTTTCAAAAGCAGATAAACAGCAGACTTATCCTATGACTTTTATTTTTTTTAAACCTTATCTATATAAGAGTTCTTTACTCTCTACCTAAAGTGAAACTATGAAACGCTCTTGAATTTTAGAGCATTTATAACTATGATATCCTTAATGGAATTACTGATATGTATGCTATACTTCTCTATGGAAACTTCTTTTTTTTTTGTTTTAAAGATTTTATTTATTTATTTGAGAGAGAGAATGAGAGAGAGAGAGCACATGAGAGGGGGGAGGGTCAGAGGGAGAAGCAGACTCCCTGCCGAGCAGGGAGCCTGATGCGGGACTCGATCCCGGGACTCCAGGATCATGACCTGAGCCGAAGGCAGTCGCTTAACCAACTGAGCCACCCAGGCGCCCTCTATGGAAACTTCTGAATTTTAATGTGTATGGCTATAGTAACCTCCACAGCATGCTCATTATATGCCAATCACTGTGCTAATGTATTTTTCTTACTTAATCCTTAAAACAATTTAATAAGTTATTGCCAATATTTGGTAGATGATTACTCATAGTGCTTTGCTCAAGGCCTCAAAGCTAGTAACGGAGTAAGACCTAGGATTCAAAACCAGCTTTGTCTGAGTCTGACTCATGCTCTTGGTAATAACAACAGCAAACGCTTCTATAGTAAAGCACTTCAGATATGCCAGGCACTGTTTTCAGTGCTTTAGGACATATGAATTCATTTAAGTATATAGGCTCCCACTAAAAGAATTACACTGACGACATATTTAAGGTTTGCAAACACCCAGGATCATTGTCAGAAAAAGGAAGTAATATTTAAAACACAGTATCCAACCATAAAAGTACTAATTAAGACAGTACAGAGTAAATGAAGAATACATCTAATGGGTCCTCCTCAATTTCTACACCTTGACATTGTCATCCATTCAACTCATTGCTACCAGAGGTTCTGCCTGTCTTGTGCACCCTTCACAGACTCCAAACTCTTTCTTAGGCTTCCACCCCAGACCTGTTTCAATTGTCATATAATTAAGCCCAAGGCCTGGCAAACTGCTATGCACTGGCGAAGTACAGATCTCCCTCGTCTGCGTGCTCCACTTTACCTGTGTGCAGCCGAGTGGAAGAAACTAAGTCATCAAATGGCATGATCCCCATTTTTTTTTCAGTGACTCTGGGTCAGGAAGAAGAAGGTCTGTCTCCCCTCACCATTATCTCTACAAAGGTGCCCACCATGTGACCTACTTTCGATAATCCCATTCCAGCTCTGTTTTCAGAAGAAATGAAAGAAGCCTGTTCCACTTACCACACATTAAATTATAGACTTCGATATTTTCAAAGGAGTCAACCTCAAGGCTGTGCTTGAATCCAGGTCCGTAGCCAATAAAGAGGGCCTAGATGGGCCAGAAAAATAAGAGCGTGTCAATTCATTTCAGCTATGTACGTAGCTGGTGACAAAATTATTTTACATTATCCATGCTGTACATATATAAACTGGTTAAGATGATGGGAAAAATACTGTGTCCATGGACTTGGTGGGCTACTGTGTTAACCTGTGTTAAATTTTAATCTTTAATCTAAAGACATGTGGGATATTTCTCTCAGCTTTACTGCAATTCCTGACTTGACAGAACAGAATGGGTGATGAAATCATTGCTCGTCTGTGAAATGGGATATAAATGTCACCCTGCCCACCTCACACAGTGCTGTAGGCATCAAATTAAATCACTGTTGTGAGTATATTCTGAAATTTTAAATTGCTAAGTGAATGTAAGGCATCATCTTCACTTAAAACAAAAGTATGATATCTTTTCCCCTATTAAATCACTAGTTTTCATTTACCATGGGGCAATATTCTTAATGGAGCACAAATATATGCAAAGTAACTATTAGAAATTTAGTATGAGGTAAGTCACATGTTCATGAAACATGCATATAAAATTTTAACAAAATTCTATTAATGTAATGCCCAAAGTAATACAGCTATACAAAATTATAAGCTTCATTAATTCTCATTCAAGACATACAATCACCCTCCACGTTTCGAAGTCTATAACTCTATACAGTTTTCTTCAGATATAAACTATTTTTCTAAGTATAACAAGTTTACTTACTTGCATATTTGAAAACAAATTGTCAGAACCATGGAATCCACTTCCACAATGCTTCCTTTCTGAAGGATTCCTAATTTTGACATAATATGAATTAATGATGTAAAGTCTATTCATACCGCCAAATTTATAATCGTGACATTATTTCTGTCCATAAAGAATAAGTAACTATTTTGTTAAACAAACCAAAAAAAGGTAAACAAAACCACCAGGCTTGGAAAGCATTAAGGGCCACCTTTATCTTTTATTCTGTAGATAAATCAACTCTATATGCAGTGTGGCTGGAGGGGAAAAGCCACCAGCATTGACACATAACTAGTTTTGAACCCTGACTATGCTATTTACTAGCTGTGACTTTGGCAAGTTAGTTATCTTCTCCTGGTTTCAATTTCCTCATGTTGGGTTGTTTGTACAAATTAAATGGCTTAGTCTAAAGAAATCTTTGGAATACAGTAGATGTTCGTGAAATATTAGTATATTATTCATATGAGGGTAAGGACCATCCCTTCCTTCATGTTTTTCTTCCAAACACTAAAAGCACAGCTCTCTAGTGAAAGGAGAGACAGTGAAATGTTCACTCAATCCTTGTTCACTGCTTAGGTTTTGCTTTATCATCCTTGGCTTCCTGGCAACCATCAAAAGAGTTAATTATCATATTTTGAGATATTAACAATATTAACCATCCGAATAATTTTCTAACACTCCAAAAAACTGAGGTGAAAAAAACTACTCTATGAAGAAAGTAATTGCTTGTTATTATAAAGAGCTTTTACCAGTTACTTGCTGGATTTAAAGGTATTATTAGTATAGCTGTAATGTGCAGAAGAGATACAATGGCTAAGTGATAAGACTAATGTAGAACATAAGAAATAATCAATAGGGAAAAAAAAAAAAAAGAAATAATCAATAGGGATGTGAGCAGAGCAGCGGTTCCTAGCTGGGGGTGGATGGTCCTCCCCAGGGCATTTCTGGCAATATCTGGAGACATTTTTGGTTGGCACAACTGTGGAAAGTATGCTTTTTCATCTAATGGGTAGAAGCTGGGGATGCTTTCAAACATCCTGCAATGCACAGGACAGCTCCCCACAACAAAGAATTATCTGACCCAAAAGGTCAACAAGCCAAGGTTGAGAAACCCCGGGATAGAGTGAAGAGAATCATATTTGTACAGTTTTCATATAACAACATTGTTGGAAAGGACCCAGTGGTTACCTTGAATCACTAACATATCAGGCTAAGTTTACCTGGAAACCATTAGAACTTACAATGCAAGTTGCCACTGAGGGTCCAAATAGAATGTCAAGGGCTCAATCCTGTCACTTTTGGCAAAGTGCAAACGCTTGGGTAAGAAATGTTTCAGGTAAGGTTTGAAGTGCTGGTTTGGTTCCCGGCACTGAAATTATAGAAGGTAAAGAAATACTCTTATTTCCATTATTTTCTTAGGTGTAAACTTCTCTTGAAATTGCTTAATTCTGTATGAATTTTTTCTGATAAAAAGTTTTACCAGCCTGCTCAATAAGTCACAGATGCAAAAATAACTAAGTTCTTACTACTTATATAATGCCCAGTTGACCATTTCCCACAATTCAATACTCATGTTTTTAACAGGAAATCAGAATTGCTGCATAAAAACCCCAAAATTCTTAGACCATTTTTTTGAGTTTTTATGAGTTACTACTGATATTCTTTTCAAACACTTATAACTACAATATCAAGAATTTTCTTTAATACTTAAAACATATCAAGTAAAAAAATGTACTATAGATAACTCACCACCAAGACAAAAACTTATTTTTTAAAAGGGCATAAAAAAGACTGGTAGGAAATATATAATAATGCTAACAGTACCTATGGTGATATAGCTATAAATTTTTTTCCTTCTGTTTTTTTTCCAATTATTTCTTTACTGTCATAAAAATTAAACAATGACAATAAATGAATCCTTAAAAACTTTTTCTAAAAGATTTATTTATTTATTTATTTATTTATTTATTTATTTATTTATTTATTTATTTGAGAGAGAGGGATGAGTGGGGCAGGGGGAAAGGAAGGAGCAGACTCCCAGGTGAGCAGGAAGACTGACAAAGGCTCAATCTCGGGACCCCAAGATCATGACCTGAGCTGAAGGCAGACGTTTAACCCACTGAACCATCCAGGTACCCCCTTAAAAACTTTCAATGCTAGTTTACTGGGACATGTCCTTAAAGATCTTTAAAAACAATAGGGCATTTAAATGCTGGCCCACATACTCAAAAATTCTAATGCTAAAATCCCAAGAACAGATACTGAATCTCTTTTCTAAATATATATTAAACAAAACTAACAATAACTAGATAATGAAAACATAAAGAGACTCACAGAAAGATTTCTGGCAAGGTCTTCATAATCAACTGAGGGGGGACAAAGATAAGAATTAATTGTTGATGGTATGCTACAATTAAAAATAAAACAAAAATGCTGAATGTCAGAATCAAACTCTATATTTAAATATCAAAAGAGGTTTCAAACAGCCTATTTAAATCATTATGTATTAGTCATTGGCAGGAATGAGAGAGATCGTTAGGAACCACCCCATGCCTGTGAAATTGTGTCATATTGTTAAATGAAAAGGCAAATTACAGAATATCTATCCATCCATCTGTGCATCCATATGCGTCCATCCATCTGACCATCCTATCTGTCCATGCATCTAGATGTAGTACGATTTCATGGCATAAAATTAAAAAACAAACATGTCTTATATACGCATACCAGATATCTGGGAACACATTGTCCAAGCCTAGCAATGCTTATCTCTAGAGAGAGGAAATGAGTTGTGAATTAGGGAGGTTTAGGGAAACTGTTACTTTTTACTTTACATATTTTGATATTTGATAATTCCAGAACTTCCAAGTAAGAAGGACATGGGGCATCTTAGAAGAGAGTGCAAGTAGACTAGTTTTGAAACTGAATTTGTATAGCAAGACCACAGATGTAGTGTATTCTATGCTACAAATCAATAAATGTCTAGCTTTCCAAAGATTCTTCTAGCTATACTTTACATAAGTTTGAGGAAATTATTCAGATAAAAGAACATGTATTATATATATATCTTATGTATGTATATTGATAAATTAATTTGGAAAACAGAGACCTAATGAGATAAGGGTGTGGTCAAAGCTTATCTCACTGCCCCGACCTGTACAGTTTTTATAACAGGCTTTGTAACAATTGTATACTACTTTCATAAATTAAAAAAAAAAATACTAATTAAAACTTGCCAAGCATATACAGAGTCTTTGCTGAGTGTCACTATGTTAACACACTGTTTAATATTTGCATAAACATTTTCCTGCAGTGAAATCTGTGTCTCCTCATGAATATTCAAAAGTATCTATGGAAACGTACAGCACAGCAGTGCCCAAACCTAACCAATTCCGATAAAAGTCGGACAAGCTTTTTTCTCTATTTCAAAGTTAACTATAACAAAAAGATAAACAAGACTTGCTGTAGGTATCTGACAGTTACCAAAGACGCCAATCAAAAAGGAGGCCATAACGGAGGTGCAAACAATTAGGAAATGGACTTCATTTGCAAAAGAATTAATATTTTATTTATTTATTTTTAAAGATTTTATTTATTTATTTGACAGAGAGAGAGAGTTAGCGAGAACAGGAACACAAGCGGGGGAGTGGGAGAGGGAGAAGCAGGCTTCCCACTGAGCAGGGAGCCTGATGCAGGGCTGGATCCCAGGACCCTCCGGGGATCATGACTTGAGCCGAAGGCAGACGCTTAATGACTGAGCCACCCAGGCGCCCCAAAAGAATATTTTAAAAAATTTCTTGGCAGTTGGGGTTCCACATGTAGTCAAGACAGAATGTGAAATTTTTTCTTCTCTGTTTACAAAACACACTCTTACTGTGTTTTGGAATGGTCAAGGAAAGTCATTTCTGAGGACAGAAACCAGTTGTTTATAGAATTTTAAGAACTACAGAATTGCCAACATTCCTCCTCATAATAGAATATTATTCTATAACAGCTCTAAGCTATTTTAGTGGAATGTCATTAATTAAACTTGAATACATATAGCTGAACTTTTCGGGGTTTTTTTTTAGTACAAGTAATCTCGAATCTAACACAAGTAAAACACACACTACAACATAAAATTGTACTAAGCTCATCAAATAATATGCTTAGCAATCAATAACAGAGATAAGTGGTTAGACCTGTGTCCTCACACCCAGTGCCTTTATAAAATCCCTTTGGGTGCAGAAGATCTGCATTGGAAAATTAAGCATGAAAAGGAAATTAACTCTAATTGATGCACTTTAGTGTAGAGATAGAATAAGTTAGAGGAATGTATTCTGGATGTAATCATATTCAAAATTAGCATCATATATACTTACATGAAAAGTACTTATCTGGGACATCAGAGGGTCTCAATCGAGCTGCAGGTCCATATATAATTTTAATATCTTTAACATCTCCCAAATATTTATTCAGATATACATATTTCTTGCAACTGCCTTGTTCCATGCCTGGGAGAAAAAAATCCCCAAACATGGTTGCAACTTTAATAAGGAATTTAACGTATAGAAGAGAATTTCTTTCACCTCCAGAATTTAATTCAATTACTATGTGCTCAGTACGCACGTTAGTTAAGCATCTAATAGGTAAGACACAAAATTTCAACTATTTATACCCCTTTACTTCCAAAGAAAACCAACTTTTTCCCTTCCTTCATCCACAATTAGTTTAATATTTCTTCTTATATATGTATTACAGTATCTTTATGTGAGGAGGAATATCACAGTTTCAGACTGAATATAAAAGCCTACTCATTTTCCCCAGATCACCTAGAATACGAATGGTAGCATAAAATTCTCAGTCTCATTCCAGAACTGTAGCTTCTTTGGAACAGAACTTCTTACAACCGTTTCTAGAAATAGCTTTTAGTAATTATTTCTGAAGCAAACAATAACAACAAGAAAAACAAACAAAAAGAACTTGTTTTCTATTTTCTTATGCACTCATTGCTTCTGTACTCCCAAGGCTGTTACACAAACATGTTCTAAAGGTCAAAGTAAGTAACTATTTAAAATTCCTGGTATAAACCTTCCCCAAATCAGGAGATGGGTACATTGTCACTGATAGGCTCTTAGGTTTCTGTGAATTCTGTATTTTATTTGTACTTTATGTTTAATATAATTTTTTCCTAAAAACTTTCCACAAGAAACCACATTAAAAAAATTAACTATAACAATCAGAAGAAATAATGAAACAATAACCAAGCAAGGAAACTTTTTGGGGAGCACCATTTAACCTGAAGGGTAAATGATGCAAAGTCAGATTACCATGATCTGAAATAAGGATAAGATTCAGGCATCGATGCAAGTTCAGCTCCTTTAGACCATCCATCAGCATGCCAACCATGTTGTCAACCCTCTGCAATGCTCTGATGACCTATGAAAGGGAAGCGATTTCATGTGATGGATTCCATACTAATGGCTATTTCTATACAAAGCTATCTCTGTGAATACAAGGAAAGTTCAGTGGATACAACTACTATGATGAACTGATTGACATTAGGCTAAGACAGGGCAGGTAAAACAATGCCCATTAATAAAAGAAGGGTCCAAATCCCATACATATGTGCTCAATTATAAGTACTGGGAATGACACCAGCTGACCTGATTGTCTAAACTGTTAAAAATGTTAAAATTATGCATGAAATGCTTTTTAGAGTTCTTGTATTTGATTTTTAAGATTAGAACTAGGAATACAACCCATTATTTCCTTACAAACTGCATGTATTTCCTTACAAACTGCATGTGATATGACATATCACAAGGACACAAAAGAGCAAATGGTTTTAGCAACTTGCTTTTGACATTTCTCTTTTCAGCTCTCCTTGCAAAACCACCGGAGGAAAATTCTTTGCAATTCTACATGCGCTTTCTGTTATGTATCAAATCAGTCTTATTTCTATGGTCAATGAATTTCACTGTAATATGAAACAAACTCCCTCAATATGGTCTTTCATTCACTCAAAACTACCCAAGTAATTCGAGTTGGAATTTTTAAGTATTAAAGTGGGTTTCGATGTGGCAGTAATATTAGAATTTAACAGAGGTTACAAGTTGGTGAATATAATATGAAAAGCAATGGGCTCAATCTTGAATGCAGATGAATCAGCAAAGTAGTACTTTGGCAAATCTTCAGTGAAATTAGAAAAGCACTGACTTTACAATTCATATGATCTGATAATCTAATAATTACCAAATGAGCCTTAGACTTCCTTGTAGCCAAACTGACCTGGACAGGAGCCTTAAGTGTCGGGGAATTTAGTGAACGAATAAAAATTACCCTAGCATCTGGCCAACTGTCAAACCAACACAACACTGACAAGAAGCTTTTCTCTTTCACCAATGATGGCATGGTTGCGTTGTCCACCAGGTGTCCTCCTTCCTGCCCCTCTAAGGAGCACTTGTGCTTAGCTGAAGGACAGAAGCCAAGCAAGGGCACATGGAATCACTAACTACATTAGAGCTGCTGCAGATGGATTTTGATTGAAAAAAATCCAGAGAGTAAATACAGACCTAGACTGAGGGTTAACTTCCCTCTCTCTCTGCTCGCTTTTAGCTGACAAGATGGCGCCTAAGAGGAACCTATGCTCTAAGAGGGGCAAATCTGGAGTAAACCCAGGGTAAGGGAAACCAGGAGAAGATGGTTTAGGCAGGTGTTTTAAATTCAAGTGAGAAAAATGAGCCTATGTTCTCCCCTCGTTCTGCTGTTGCTGAAGCAAGCATTTAGAGCAAGAAGCAGTCTCAAACTGGAGCTCACAACAGACACCTTAGGATAGGCTCTGGTCTAGGCTCGGTGCTAAAGAGTCTTTGAGGCTCACAAACTATCCAGCTTGAAGGTGAAATTCTAGCTATTCCTAGTCTTTTATCTCTTGGAGTCACATGGGGAAAAAGATAACAAAGATTCTGAGATTAGGGATGCTGGCTATACTGATTCTCCTTTCGTCATGACCAACAATATTCACAGATCCTTACTTCTTGTTTCTTTTCAGATCTAGGGTCACAGATTAAACAGACATCATAAGGGAAGTCAGCTTAGAGGTACAAAGAAAGAAGCTCAAATTGTTTTCTGTTCTAATGCTTCCTCTGCTCCAAGATACAAAAATTATATGGCCACACAAAAACTGAAAGCAGTATTTGATCTTTTAAAGCACTATACCGATTACAAACATAGCCAGGAGTGAGCTAAGTTCCTGAAAGAGTGTCAGGTCAAGTAAGACCTTACACTGACAGCCTTAGTCCGTGAGCTGTTTCCCCATCTCTAGCTTACTAGTAACCGCTCAATAAAACCAGAGTTATTTCAAATTCTCTACAATTCTGACAAAATTTCCTATTTTTTGATGCCCGAGCTCTGTTGTGAGCCTGAGCTCAGAGATCAGAGATGTATCTCCTAGGGTGGAAAGGTCATGGGAGGCTTCTTGTGCTAATTCTCCTATATTTACATAGAAAACTGGAGTCTTACCCATTTACAACATTTCCAAAGAGCCCTTAGTTTTTAGGTCAATGTAGGGAGAAATGGAGTGGATAAAGGCTTTGGAATTGAGAATATAGAATTTACCATCAGTTCGATTTAGCACCGTGGAAAGTACAGACAAGACAAATTCTCCCTACTGTTATTTTTACGAAAGCGCATCCTTTGGTTTAGTAAAACTGTGCTTACTACTCATTCCAAATCCTGGAATCTTAGAGAGTGGTCTAGAAACATGCTTCAAAGCAAGGTTTAGTTAGAAGTAATCACTGATAAAAAGGTACTTACTTCACTGCTGACTGGTCCATACAAATGACCTGAAGAATCTGGTTCTTCTAAATACAGAGTGTAAAAGTGTGGTCTAAATCAAACAGCATCAAAATGTAATATTTTATAAACACATTGTAAAACAGAATGGAAAGAATAATTTAATAATCGATAGTGATTAAAAAGTCTACAACACTGGGGTAACATTTCTAAACTTGCTGAGAAATAATTTACAGGTTTGGAATTCTTCAAAATGTTCCATAAAAAGAGTTCATTTGGATATAAAGGGCCAGAGCCAATTGCCAAGTTTCTTGCAGCTCATTTTAAAATATTGTGTAATTTCTATAAAACGAAGGAGTATTTACCATAGAAATTAGGCCTTTACATACCTTTCATCTTTAGGAAGCTGCAACCACTTAAGAACAGCTAAAATCCTTTCTTCAAATGGTATTGAACTAAAATTAAGAATAAGCAAAATGAAACAATTTGTGACAATTATCCGAGTTTAAAATATCAGTGTTTTTCTTACCCAAAATAGCACTGAAAGACTAAAACAATCCCATGCATTAATTGTGTTTAAAACAATGCAAAAGTTTAATTTGAAAACTCAAATTTGTTTCCCCAATAAAAGAACAAAGGTTAAGCTTTACACATATGAAACCTGTAACTGGGTTTAAAAATTTGCTTCTTGGGGCGCCTAGGTGGGGCAGCCTGTTAATCATATGACTCTTGATTTTGGCTCAGGTCGTGATCTCAGGATCGTGAGATCAAGCCCTGTGTTGGGCTCCCCACTCGGTGAGGAGTCTGCTTGAGATTCTCTCTCTCCCTCTCCCTTTGCACCTCGCCCCACTCACACATTCTCTCTCTCAAATAAATAAATAAAAATAAAAATTTGCTTCTTATATCTACTTGAGGATATTATTCCTGTATCTGAGAACAGCGATTGTTACCAGGTGAATAACCCATGTGTCAATACATTCTACAAAGGGTACCTCATGGACAGCTCACTCACTCGTGACTCTTAAATAAAAGTTGGAGTCAGTCCCCACAACTTCATTTTTTATTCCTGCCCAAAGATTCTGAATGCAAATTCCAACATGTTACCAGCGCTTTCTACAAAACTTCGAGAAAAAAACTTTGTCTACTTTTACTGTCCATCCAACTACCCAAAACTTATTTACCCTCCATCTAAAAGGTAGAGTTCTTTTTCTGACTGTTCTCATTTTTCAGCCAACACATCACAGAAATGCTGGAACTTGGGACTTGATAAAAAGGAGAAGCTGAGATTTAAAACAGATTAGCTGTTCTGAAAAAAGTACACCTATACATACCTATTATACATTTTATAGATGTCTGGGAGAATTCCATTAATTTCCACATCTGATCCTGGCCAAAAAAATGTACCACTTTTCAGGCCTTGATGTTTAGCAGTGAGCCAAATCTGGGGAAGAGAATGAAGGCAAGTCAGAAATGTACAACCGTGCATGTTAGGAAAGTACATGTTCATGTGACATCAATGCACTCCTCTCCAGTGTTACAGTGTTTTTGAGGTTAAGGAGCTTCAGCAGTGAGACTATAAAATAATCACTTAGTAGGACTCAGCAGCAAAATGAAATGAAATAATCAGAGATTAAAGTAACCTAAAAAATATAGACACCATCAGTTGGCAACCTCTGCAACTTTCAGAGCCCCGGCCTTACTTAATGGGCTCCCCTTGAAAGAAGAAAATATTCCCAAGCATACATGTATATAATTTGTTGACATTTTTGTTATGTAACTAACATTTACAAGTACTTACTGCCAATTACAATTCTAAATAGTATCTCCATAAGCATCCCAATTATTAATTTGGCTAATCCTCAGAATCACACCCCGAGGTAGTTAATGATATCATCTACAGTATAAATCTGAGAAAACTGAGCCACAGAAAGAATAATTTGCCCAAAGTCACATCATTTTAAATATCAGCAAGAAATTTGAATTTATACCCTGCAAATTAAACATCATGCTCTTTTTCCTTCTTAGAAGAATATCGAGACTATCCAAAAAGACCCCACAGAATTTTTGTGGCAATTTTTAAAAAAATACAAAGAACACATCTAAATCATGGCCAGAAAGAACCTTCTAAGTTAGCATATACAAATGAAGTCAAAGTTGACCTCCTTTAGAAACAGTTAGTTTTGTGTGGATCAAAATATGGCCCCCAGACCACTGCTATAAACTACTAGTACAAGAAGGTAGAATCAAGCAGAAAAAAAAAATGATTCAGAATTTCCCCAATGCAGCTATGAAATAAAACTACTCCCATTACACAATGATACAAGCTGTATTTAGGATTATCAGCATTCATCCCCATCTACAAAAGGATGGCCACGGACAAGATCAATGACGTAGGTTATTAAAAGCTCCAGGGAATCTGTTATTTTACTCTAATTGAAATAGATGAGAATTAAAAAAAAAAAAACAAACTATTTTAGTAGCTAAAACAAACAAACAAACAACTCACTGGTTCTCCTCCGTACCACTCAGGATTAAATTTCTCCTTACTTTTAAGTGCAAAGAAAGCGTTCATTTTGGGATCATACATTTTATTGTCAATTATGCCATGGGATTCTGGATAAAGTCCCTAAAAAAGACAAAAACAGGTTTTATGCAAGTTGTGAGTTTTCAATGTAAAAGTCAAAGAACAAAATCATCGAAGAGAAACAGGTAACTGAAGCTACAAGAAACTTAACATAGTTTAAGGAGAGAAGAACAAAACAATGGGATTGTCAAAACACAACCAAACACTCAAGATCTTATATAGTATTTGTGTTGTAAATTATGTAACAGGAGAAAATAAGTGAGGAATCGTATGGATGAGGGTCTATATAAATGACAGCCCCTCCAATTTTTTTAAAGATTTTATTTTTATGTACTTATTTATTTGAGAGAGACAGAGTGCAAGCGGGGCTAAGAGCAGAGGGAGAGGGACAGGCAGACTCCACACTAAGCACAGAGTCTGACAAGGGCCAGATCTCACAACCCTGAGATCATGACCTGGGCCGAAATTAAGAGTCGAATGCTTAACCAACTGAGCCACCCTGGCACCCCTACAGCCTCCCCAATTTTTAAAAAAGTGTTGTATTTTCCTTTTGCATTGCTGAGTAAAGCATTTCTGTAGAACAAATTTTGTTTTAGTTGAGTCTGAGAATAGCTCATATTACTACAAGCTAAAGAATTAATTTTCTGGCTTCAACCTAATGCCTAATGAATTTGACTTTTTTTCTGGACTCCAATTAAACTGGGAAACTTTGAAACAAAAACAGGCCTGTAATCCTCTCTAGAGTCAGGCAAAACGGATTGCTTAAACTCATACATCAAGATGATTGGAAAGACAAGTTGAGAACCCATGAGTGTAGGACAAATTTTACAAATACAGCAAGCTACAAAACTATAAGAAGAAACAAGACACAAAAATTGGAGAAATCTTAAAACCGAAAGGAAACCAAGAAATCATTTGTTGGAGTCTTTATAGTCTCTTTTCAAGATGGAAAAATTGAGACCAGAAGGTAAAGTGACCTTCCCCAAAGTGCAGATTTGGCTAGGTTTCCTTGCTTAATTATATACTGGAAAAGAAGTTATTCTTTTCTGATCTGATGTCTAATTATTCCCTCAAAAAATGTAACATTTACATCTCACTTCTGTGAACAACATATAAAGTTGAAACTTGGAGCTTACAGTGACAATGCTGTAGTGATTGGGAAAAGTTTTTGTTGGATACACTGGTCTCATGTTTTTGGTGTGCGTTCCACAGTTTTCTACAAGGGAAAAAAATTAAAGATTGCTATTAAATGCAATTGACAATCTGTTTACTTCATCTAGCTTTGCTAGTAAATAAGTCTGAATAGTATTAAAACCATATAAAACTTTAGGGTTAATTATAAAGCAACACTATAGATTCAATTCAATGTTAAGATAAGTTAATTTTTCTCAGAGAAATATTAAACAAGATAATTAAGCCAATGAAAGAATTATCCCATGCTTATCAATAACATGAAGTTCCAGATGGACCATGTGTAATAATGATGCCTACTAGATCTTTGTCTGATATTACTTAGTGGTCACATACCTAAGTTTTAAGAGGTAGTTAAAAAACAAACAAAACCAAACTGCACTGGTAGCAAAATCTGCAAAATTAAAACAAGGGTGAAGCAGTAGCTGGGGTGGGGGACAGTGTCCCAGTGTGAAAATCCAGAACCAGCTAACTCTGGACAAACTCAACACGTCTCTAAAGATAAAAGGCATCGTCTGGCTTCATGCCAGAGAAAGCACAGAAGTCAGACTGCTCCGGATTTAGCCTTGATATCATGCTCCTTTTCTCCTGTCTCTACTATTGAGGAAAAGACTACATAAACTAATGAATCAAGCATTTCAGTACATCGCTGCTGAAAACATTCCTCCAATTGGCAAGCGTCTATCTATCTCAATGCCTTCCAAACAGTGCAAAGCTACAAAGTATGTCCCCCAATTATCCACAGCTGGGGCTTAGGCTAATTGTGTGCTGATTTCTTTTAAACTTCACACATAGTATCCACAACTCCTTAATTCTGAACTCAGGCTGCATATTTGGTGCTATGGAAACAAACTTCCCTCCTAATGGTCACAAAGGACCAGATTCAAGCTTCAAAGCCCATGGGCCGAACTGGTAAGAACAGAGCCTTCCTTGACGATGCCTGCTTTTTGCTGAAGACTTTTTTTCCATGTCAATGATTATGTATAAAAATTATTTTCTTCTAGGTAGAAATTAAACACAGAAATTTTAAAACGTTTTCCCAAAATACTTCAGGTTTCTCATAAAAGAAGTAAAATAAATGCACACATGTATTTACTGAGAATGATTTTAATGTTTAAACTAATCTCATATACTCAAGTCTAGTAAATAATATTTTAGAATTCCAGAACACTAAAATCATTGTATTTACTTCTATTTCAGCCTTGTATTACACTGTAACTACTTAACTATTGATCACTGATAATGTGCAAAGTTCTACAATTTTTATACGCATATACAATTTTTTTTCCTTTCTCAATAAAAATGATGATACAAGTGATACCCATAACTGGGGGTTAATGTGATTTAAAACCTCAGCATTAATATTAAGACCATTCTACTATTACATCGATAACTTATAGAATAATCATTCCATTAAGGTCTTTGTATGAGGCAAAGAAATTGGAAGGATACTATACGATACTATAGGATACCTGGAAATATTCAATGTCCACACTACTAGAATCATATCAGAAATACTTTCATTTTGAAAATTCTAAAGATGTGATAAATATTAAATAAATGGTTTTTCCACAAAAGGAATCCAAAATTCTAAGAAAAAAAATATATAAACTGTATTATCTTAGAAGTATAAGTAATTATAATATTGGAGACTAATTCCTTATCATCAGGTTCAACTATTTCGCAGTAGTGATGTTTGGTAAAACACATTCTGCCGGTATTTTTCCAAAAAAAGCCAGCATCCCTAGTCTATCTCACCAAAATGGTGACACCCCCAACAGAGAACTCTGAAGTTACTCACTTAGTTTGCTAATAACAGGAAGAAGGCCACTCCAGGTGTGTAAATATTCTGCCCTGAAGCCATCCAAGGAAAATAAGAGGGTAGGAGGCGTTTCAAACCTGGATAATGAAAAAGAAAAAAACAATGTTTAAAGAAGGAGAAGGAAGACAAACATCCATGAAGGTTCTTTTCCTTCCTTGGCACAGGTCCAGTGAAGATTTCTCACTGAGGTTGGTTATGTAATCTAAAGTAAACTAACAAGCTCAGCAAGCATCCTTATAAAGGAGATTTTACATTGACATTTATATACATGCTTTTACATTTCATTAAATATATATGATATATACATATATCAACAAATAGTATTTCTTAAGCACTCATACCATTTTGAGCCACTATATGGAGAATATTCATAGTCCCCGCTATTCCAAAAGCTGAACCAAATGCTACTAAAATGTAGTAATATTTTCCCAATTTGCAGGAGAATAAATGTTAATAAACTGCATTTTCTAAATATGTTTTTGTTTCCATCAAGTTTTTTCCTGAACAACTATCTTCTGATATTGTCTCTACGTGAATCTACTAGATGGTACCTCATATCACATAAATTATATATAAAATTTAGTTTTTAAATTTACTATATTTGAAAGATATTACTATTTAGTAGAGAAGTTTGAGATGTATTCACTACTTTTAAATAAAAAAAGAAATGATCCAAAGCTAGGAATGAACAATGAGGGTGCACGTGTACGTACATGCAGACACACAGACACACACACACACACACACACACAATGTATGTGGTGTGGAAATCCAAAGAAGGAGGCAAAAAACACAATGATGTGTGCAATCAAAGCGAATAACTTATGGGCAACTGTTACATGGCCAAACCAGAGCAGGCATGGTTCAGAAATTTTGAACTTTTAATGATATCTGGGGGATGATGGGAGATCTGTACATAACAGGATAACTGTAAAAAGCAGTTTACTCAGTAATTTAAAATTTGAGAGTAAATGCTTAATTTTGCCTTGCCTTTTTTCAATTCTACCTCCTCCTCAGCTTACTCTCACACATAAACACAAAAGAAAAAAAAAATTGGTATGTAACTTCCACTAACTAGTGTTTGTACCATAGCTCAGTTAGAAGATTCTAGAACCAGCTGCATAGGGTCTCAATGGTCCATAACTGTATGAAATTATTTGTATTCACTCAACATAAAACATAAACAGTTCATTGTGCCACCAGGTAAATATACTAGCATGACTTGCAGTATAATAGCACATGTTCCCAATTATGATCTCATTGTAAAGAAAGGAAGAGTTACATTTCCACTCAAAGGATCAATATTACCACTGAAAAATAATGACCAATGTGTAGAAGGAAAAGAAAGACTCAAAATTCACTAAATCTAAATTTTCCAATATACCTTGGAATTAAAGGACAGCTCAAGGTACAGGAGAGGTCCCTTTGAAAAAAGTCTCTTCTATTGTAATTTTTTGGTTTGGGTTTAGTTTTTGTTGCTACTACTGTTGTTTTAAACGAAAAAGTGCTCTCTCATCCAAAGGAAAAAAAATACACATCCTATAAGGCAAAAATAAATTATATACACAAACAAAATAAGCTAAAGTACAGCTTTAAAATTTTTAATAGTTTGGAAAAAGATCATGACTTTAAAAAGGTAAAAATGTATTTCTGAAGATGAATAATTCAAATTATACAAGGCAGTAGATCTCAAGTGGAGCAAAGATAAATATATCTAACATCTTCATAAAATTTCCCCTCTTTGAATTGCACACAAATTTTTTTGATGGCCTAGTATACATAAGGTACTGTGCAAAATACTTTATGGACAAAAAGAACCAATATGAATAATAAAAATTATGCAACATTCTCTCACAGATACATTGCTTATCCCCCAAAATTTATAAGTGAACCAAAATACAAAAAATAAAAAGAAAGCTATAAAGTAATTTGCTACAGGTTTAACTCTCAAAGCTACAAATGAAAAAAAAAAAAAAGAAGAAGAAGATAGTAGGAAGGGGGGGAATCGGAGGGGGAGACGAACCATGAGAGACTATGGACTCTGAGAAACAAACTGAGGGTTCTAGAGGGGAGGGGGTGGGGGGATGGGTTAGCCTGGTGATGGGTATTAAAGAGGGCACGTACTGCATGGAGCACTGGGTGTTATACGCAAACAATGAATCATGGAACACAACATCAAAAACTAATGATGTAATGTGTGGTGATTAACATAACATAATAAAATTAAATTAAAAAAAAAAAAAAAAGAAAGAAAGTAAAAGGTCTTCCTTCCTAATGAGAAAGACAAAAGATTTCCACCCACTGCTCATGGCCAGTAAAGACTAAATAGTCATGACCTTCCTTTTTTTCTGTTAGCTTCCAGAGTGAAGGGTCATTCCATAATTAACTCTACACCACCAGTGACCAACACAAGGCCTGACTAAAAACAACATTTAATGAACGAATGATTGATTATTATTTTTATTCTGTGGAAAGAGAAAAAAAATAGTACTCTAAAAAAATAGTATTTCAGAATATCATCTTACCCTGATGGACACTGTGGCTCATTAATGCTCTCACAAGTTTCTTCTACCCAACTTTTCTGTCCTAAAATATTTTCAAGAAATAAAACAAGTTGAACACACTGAACAGTAACAATAACTGTGATGCTGTGAGACATATTATGACAGATTCCAAAAACAAAATGTTAACAGATATGTAGATAATATGGGGCATGATTCTAGGGAAATACAACAAATACAGAAAGTTACTATGTCTCATAGTAAGAGTTAGTTGATATCAGGAAGAAAAAAAATGTGTAATTGCAAGACTAAAACATATTACTGTATTTGTGGGAACTTAAAGGCACCTTTTTTTTTTTAAAGATTTTATTTATTTACTTGAGAGAGAGAGAATGAGAGAGAACACATGAGAGGGGATAGGGTCAGAGGGAGAAGCAGACTCCCCGCCGAGCAGGGAGCCTGATGCGGGACTCGATCCCGGGACTCCAGGATCACGACCTGAGCCGAAGGCAGTCGCTTAACCAACTGAGCCACCCAGGCGCCCAAAGGCACCTTTTTCATTCTTGAGTGGTTGATATTTTCAGCCAAAATTTACAAGCCTCCTTTTATCCACCCAACAACATCTTCTAGTACTAAATCCTGGATATCTTAGTTCCCCTCATATCAATTTCAAAGAACCCTTGGACAAGACATCACAATAGCATCAGCTCACATAATACCCATAACCCTGGGCAGTAATTTCACATCTCTTCTTTCAACATGTGGCAGACACTGTCCTCATTCACAACGAGGGCACTTGGGACATAGAAATCAGCCAGGACTGCAAAAGCCATCTTTCCACAAGGCAGCATTAAATGTGTAGCTAATGTCAAAATAACATGAAGGGGTGTAGCGGGAGAGGGAGTAACTCTACACAGAACAAGATTTGCTGTGTGTAGGTCATAGGAATTCCTCAACTGATGGATGGCTACAAGATTCACTGCATACTTTCCTGACTCTCATGTTTGAATTTTTCTTTAATAAAATGCTTTTTCAATATCTTTTCGGCCAACATAGTTGGTCAATAAATAGGATCCCTAATGTAAAAAATGACAGCTCTGCAAAACCCCGCCACCACCAAGGAGGATGGCAGGCTGCTGTGGAACCAGATGGGCGCGTGGAGAGCTGACCTTGGCACACGGCGCTGAAGTTCACACAACAGTCGCCCTTGTCCCTGCAGTCATCTGAACAGGAGCACAAGCTTCTGGACAACCTTTTCTCCCCACACCTGAATTTGCTGCAAGTCCATATACGTTCTAGAAACAAACAACAAAATACACGTTATGGTCCAAATTCAACACACTGGAAGTGGACGCAGACTTGCTCTCCTCCGGGGCAAGATCCACGAGACACAAGGAACTCTTTCATTCCTCAGAGTTCCTCGCAGGGTCGGCCACCACAGTGGTTGATGTGAACTAACAGAAAACATGCATGCAATAAGTGTTATTATGTTGCTAAAAAGAACAGAATTTCGTCATTTTAAAACATGGACAAACATTATTATCGTACAATTCTTTTTTTTTTTTTTTAAAGATTTTATTTATTTATTTGAGAGAGAGAGAATGAGAGAGAGCACATGAGAGAGGGGAGGGTCAGAGGGAGAAGCAGACTCCCTGCCAAGCAGGAAGCCCGATGCGGGACTCGATCCCGGGACTCCAGGATCATGACCTGAGCCGAAGGCAGTCGCTTAACCAACTGAGCCACCCAGGCGCCCCTCGTACAATTCTTATATAGATCTTTCTTGGCTTCTTCCCACCAGCCGTTTTCAGGGTTCTCAAAATTTCACCTGAATCTGGTTTATTCTCATTTAAATATTAAATATCCATGACCTACGTAGAGAAATCCAAATCAAACTGAGAAAACATACATATTCTGATGGTTTTATTTTGAAGTGTAAGTAGACATGTAAGTACATGTGAAACTAATGTAACATTCTGTGTCAACTCTATACTTCAATAAAAAGAAGTGGATGCCTAAGAACTCTTGTTTTAATGAGCCCACACTGAAAATATTCATATATTTCAAGCAGTCTTTTTGAAGTTAAAGTACAAATTAGATTATATTGGCTTTCTGCATACATTAAAAACAGGCATGGTTTGGCTCTCCATAAAGTGTTGAACAAAGGCAAAACTCGTGACATTTTTTTCTCTAAGGAAATACAAAGGCCAAATTTTTAAAAATCTCAAATGAGTTAGATAAATCACATACCTAAAAGATAAAGAACTTGTCCCTGATCCCCATCTTTTTCCCTGCATATTTTTCTTAAGATTTTATTTATTTATTTGAGAGAGAGAGAGAGCATGAGAGGGGAGAGGGTCAGAGGGAGAAGCAGGCTCCCCTCTGAGCGGGAGCCTGACTCGGAACTCGATCCCAGAACTCCAGGATCATGACCTGAGCTGAAGGCAGTTGCTTAACCAACTGAGCCACCCAGGTGCCCTCCCTGCATAGTTTTATTTACCTGGTTCTATACATGTCTCCTGGTAATCCAGACAGCAGTTTCCAAGGTCAACGCAAGCAACATCACAGCGGCAGTTGCCAAATGTTCTCTCAAAACAGCGACCTTTGCAGCTTTTCACTGAAAATATAGAATAATGAGTTAGAGCTTTCAGATCATAGAAGCACAAAGCAAACATCAACTAATATACCTAAGATAGATTCAAATCCTACCTTAGAAAACACAGATGGCGTAATAAAGGTACCCAAAAATCTTTTCACAAATACACGAAGAAAGTGGCACAAAAAGAAGGCACAGAGTTTTGATTTTCTCTCTTGCCATAGAAAAAAAGAACTTTTAAAATTTATGACAAACCCAACTGGGGCTGCTAAGACTTAAATCCTTATGGCATGGTAAAGAAAGTCAGAAGAAGGACTTGTGCTGAATGTTTTATGCTCAGAAAAGGTTGGCTTACACAGCCATAAAGTTCTCTAAAATTTCAAAATGTGAGATAAAGTTTTAAAATTAATTTTCTGAATATTTCAGAGAAAGAGAAAGAATGCCTGACTTACCTCACCCCCAGGCTTGGTGTATGAAAGAAGTGATGTCCACGTACGAACATTCTGCAGGAGTACCCCTCCCCCCATCACCTAAAATACAGATTTGGCCTTCAGATCCAGGTGGTGCCCAAATTTCCCAGTCAAGGTCTGATTTACTTTTTTTAAGCTTTTATAAAACCTTGTCCTTCCCCTCCGTCACTTATTTCCATCCGAACTAGAGTATTTGGTTACTATCCCAGTCTCACACTAGACTCCCAGCTTAAGGACAAAGACCACACGTGGATTTTGCCCAGCATACTGCATCCTGGCACCCCACAAGATGCTAGTTGGTACTAGCAAGTTTTTGTTAAATGGATACATGGTGAATATGGAAGGAAGACTTCTTATCAAAAACAATAATTTTATGTTGTAACTGTTTACTAGATACCTGGAAAAAGCTAGGTTTTCATTAGATTACTAAAATCCACTTGTAAAATAATGCAAATCCAACAGAAAAAAGGAATAATCCTAGCTCCTGACCACCAAGGCCCGCAATTTTAAAAGCCAAGGGCATGTAACAATAAGTTTCTGATTGCCCAGAGATGCTACCTGGTTACCTAGTAACCCGTCCAGAGCTGCTTCAGCAACTAACTCCCTGGGGAAAAAGAGTGTCTTCGGAGTCCCTGGACAAAGTCAGGGAGAGGGTTCCAGGGGCCCAGCACCAGAATCTTTAGGCCATATTTGCTTGTTTGTTTCACTGTTCTTAATTTATTTTTTGTTGCTTTGGGGGTTTTCGCTTTGCTTGGTTGATTTTTTGGTCCTAGCCCCTTTGTTGTTTTAGGATGAAGTTTTGCAAATAGAGTATTATATGGCTAATTCAACAAAAGAGTTTCAAGAAGGCTCAAACCAGCATCAAATCTGCAGTAACTACTGAGGACCCACAGATTAGGACATAACACTTTCTTAATCATATTCTGAAGAAGTCTAAATAGCAACACACACACACACACACACACACACACATGTGCACACGAATTACTGTAGTAATTACCTTCTTTGGCACAGCTGGGTTTCAACCCAAATATACAACCAAGGATTGTTGTTAACACACAGACTGACAATACCTGTGGGGAGAAAAAAGAAAGTTATATAGCTTTAAATGCTTTTATTTCGTCAAATGTTTCTAAAGTTGCTGGTGCTGCTTTCTTTCCTGATGTGGGTGCAGGTCACATGGATGTGTGTGCTTTGTGAAAATTCAAACTGCATACCTATGCTTTGTGCATTTTTCTGTATGTATGTTTTATTTCAAGAAAAAGTTTACTTAAGTGTTAGCAAATGAATCTATGCCATCGAAGATTAATGCTTCCAGAAATTTCCCAGTTAATGCAAATAAATCCAGTCAGAGAATTTGGAAATAATTAAGGGAAGGAGAGAGGGGGAAAAAAATCTAATTAGAGATTCAATTTCTTATTTGTTAATCCATAAAAGGTAATATGAGACTATTAGATGCCTCTTTTCCATAGTTTAACTACATAAACCCTAAACAATATCCTCACATGCCCCATGCCCCACGGCAGTTTGTGGGGACAGGCACTAGACAGGGCTGGGAACTGCGCTGTGGGCCCAAATGTTACCACAAACTGGTTGTGTGACTTGGGGGAGATCACTTACATGCTCTAGACATCAGATTACTCACCTTTACAATTAAAGGGCTGGACTTCATGGATCGCTAAAATTCTTTCCAGCTCTAACATTTTGCCACTTTCTCAGTCTCCACTCTTGTGGCCTTTGACATTTTAAGATAAGTAGACACACCACACAGAATTTTTATTTGAGAATTAGAAAAAAAAATCCAGAGAACCCTCAATATTTTTAGTGGCATGGAGTTTCCCTGAGAGCTCTCTGGAATCTCACTTTGCAGGAAAATCCGACAAACCATGCATTCAGTACCAACTATGGGTAAAGACTGTGTTATACATAGGAAAGAGTAACAGATGCCTCAGGGAGCTTCTATTTGTGTGGGAAAAGGTAAATATAACAGCATAAATGGCTCATATTTGGCAAGTCCTAGGAGGCAGCTCCAGTCCCATAGTTGTTTAAAGAAGGAGAAAGGTTGCAGTGGTTGAAGAGAAGGAAATCAGAGAAGGCTTCATAGAGAAAGACTTTGGGCAGGGCTCTGAAAGGGGGAGATGATGATATGATATGATCAATGATATAATAGAGCACACTTCTAGGAGGAAGGCCAGCATAAGGACAGGTCTGAAGGAAGAAATGGAAGGCAGCAAATAAACAACGAGCAGCTTACTTTGGCTAGAACAAAGAATATGCAAAGGGGAATGGATGTAGTGGGGACAGGTGGAGTGGTGTTTCCCAAAAGCCAAGCTAAAGAGATAATAGAGATGAGGAATGGGTGAATGGGACAGGGTGGATGGTGGGTGCAGGCTTTTATGAACTCACTCCTCAAATGAGACATATCAAGTCTTGACCATATATGCCAGTCGCCAGGTTAGGTACTGTATACTCAGTAATAAAACAGACATGACCTTTGTCCTCGAGGTGCCTAATATCAAGTGACTACAAGAACTAAAGAGAAAGAAAATGGTTAAGTAAACTGAATCAGCAGGTCTAACTTATTTCAGAAAAAAATGAGGGTAAAGGAAGGGAGAGCAAGAGTATAGTGGGTCTCAAACACAACAGGGTCGAGGTGAAGCCTTTTTCTTAGGAAATCAAAAACCTAAGTACATGTATGTGCATTGAAGTAGGGAGCCACCAGAGGAAGAGCTTGAACAAACAAGTAAACAATGGCAAACAGAACAAGGTACCAGCAGAGAGCACTAACAGATTCCCCTAAATCTTTGATGGTGGCGTAAGTGGACACAAACATATGAAAGGTAATTTTTAAGTCTCTATCAAAAACACTAAAAACTCTTACTGTTGAACATAAACATATAGGGAAATGAAAAAATTGTAAAGCTAATCTGTATTTAGTTTTCTGTCATTTAAAACATGGAGAATTAAAGTTTTCATTGTAATAAACTTATCAAGAACAATTTGAACAGTGCTTTATCTTCTTCTCCTTCTCATCATAGAGCTTATAATACAGAATGAGTATATTTTCCATGCCTTGGCAACTGGCCACATTCCTTTCCAAGCTTAGATCAGTTTTCCATGTTTTAACCTTTGCACTTTTAATAATATGAAATATCTCCACAAGTTCCTTTAATATGAATTCTTGTGCCGGGGTCCCTTCCTCTGGGACATCTTCATCCTTTCCATCACAGCCACGCTCCTCACTATGTCCATAAACTCACCATCACTCAGTTCTTCTGGCTGCATAGCTAGAGGCTGCTGAACAGAGGCAGTGTTAACATTCCCACGGTTGCCTTTTTCTTCCAGAACCCCATTTACATGTGAACTGAATCTCACTTCTGGCATTATCACTTTTCTTTCCTTTACTGAATTTTCATCTTTATCAGCCAATTCTCTCTTTCGATCATCTATCTGTATAAAATGCCATGTACATTTACCACCAGCAGACAAAGAAGCAACGCAACCACTTTCTTTGCTGTCTGTGAACGACCAATAGATGCATCATAACCAATCACTGACAGACGTGAAAAGAAACCATGTTGGTCACTGGCCACCATATGCATCTGTTATTTACACAGTGATTTGTGGACAGAAAACGCTAGCAGCAAAGACTGTATTCTATGCAACTCCTCACAGTTAATAAATCTTGGTAACTGAAACTTAAACCATGTTGTTGGGGGACTGGTGTTATTTAATTAAACTGTGGTAACTGAAATTGAGCATGCCACAGACTCATGCAAAACCAGGGCCGTCCATACTCTCACAAGTGGGCAATAGAGTTGTCCAAGACTGCTTATTTCAAAACTGTTTGTCTTCACAACAAACACACACACACACACACACACACAAACCAAGAAATAAGTTCACTTTAAGAAACTGGCTTAAAAAGTCAGTTTAATCTATACAATCTCAGGAGGTTAGCCTCAAAGATAGACACGTCAGAAGAAGGCTGAGAGGAAGATACAAAACTGAGATACAGCCAGAGGAAGTTGGAAGCAGCTGATGGTGGATGCCCTCAATCTTCTTGGGCAAGTAAGAATATCTCCTGGGAGTGAAGAAGTCTAGCCGGGGCTCTGTAATGAGGGGGCGTAGGACATCCCTAGCGGGGCTCTGTAATGAGGGGGCGTAGGACATCCCAAGTGAAGAATGGTTGCAAATCCATGGAGACAAAGGAGACTGAGTCAACAAGAGAAGAGTGAAAAGACCTTCAAGCTTTGGGAGCCCGGCTGAATGTGAAATTATGGACTGTAATGGACACAAAGTGGCCTGGAATCCCAAAGCTGGGAGTGGAGGTTTGGGACAAAAAGATAACATGGCGTGGGGAGATGGGAGGGCAGGGGAAACTGAGCAGAAAAGCTGATAATCAGAGTCAAAATGTGGCTGTAGTGGCTGAACAGGGTTGGGACCATGTGGATACAAAGGTTTGAGAACTGGGAGAAGACTGGGGATCAGGCAACTGTGGGAGTGGGAATAAAGGAGGGAGCAAGGAAGGAGGAAGAATGGAGGTTATGATTGAGTTCTCAGAAGTGGGACAGTTTGGAACGGAGATGAAACTAAAAGGAGAAACCTGAAATTGGCATAAAATACTTGTTGGAAGTAAGAAGACCCAAAAGTTCTAGTACTTACACTAATAATCAGAGTTAAGTTTATACCAACAAATAAAAAATCACAGTAGGAGAACTTTATTTATATTCTGAAATGTACTGGCTTAAAATACACATTCCCTCACTGCTGTAAGAAATTTAGTCATGGAGATGTATTACCAACAACTGCAGTGTTCTTACTAAACATAAAACAGAACTTGCGAATGGTTCTGTTACAATTAAGTCTCATCTTGAGAAAAACTATGGGAAGATTTGGTGGTAGGCAAGCATTTAAATCACAAGCATTAGGGGCGCCTAGCTGGCTCAGTCCATAGAGTGTGCACCTCCTGATCTTGGGGCAGTTAGTTCAAGCCCCATGATGGGCAAGGAGCCCACTTAAAAAAAAAAAGAAAGAAGAAGAAGAAGTAGGTGGGTGATCTAGTCTGATTGTGAGTTAGTCTGTGAGGGAAAAATCAATGTTCAACAGTCACTACCTGTCCTGCACACAGTTAACAACCAATGGAAATACCTTGTGAAAAATACTGCTCCTAGCAGCCAAAAATGTCTAAAAATAAATCCAATAATTTAAAAATCCTAGATAATGAAAACTACAGAACTTTACTGAAAAGCAATAAAAAGTTAATAAAAAGAGAAATTTGAAATACACAGTATTCTTGATTGGGGTGCCTGGGTGGCTCAGTCAGTTAAGTATCTGACTCTTGATCTCAGGGTCGGGAGTTCAAGACCTGCATTTGGCTCCATGCTGGGCATGGAGCCTACTTTAAAAACATAAGTAAAACTAAGTAAGTAAATTGTAAGCATGAGTTTAAAACACACATGATATATGCAGTCTCCACCCTCTTATGAAGCTGCAGAACGGACATGATTTTTTTTTCATTACCTCTCCACTGCTAAAAGATATTGCTTAGATTTATTTTTTTTTAAGATTGTATTTATTTATTTGAGAGACAGAAATAGCGACAGAGACAGTGAGAGAGGGCACAAGCGGGGAGGAGAGGGAGAAGCAGGCTCCCCACTGAGCAGGGAGCCCAACTTGGGGCTTGATCCCAGGACCCTGGGATCATGACCTGAGCCAAAGGCAGATGCTTAACTGACTGAGCCACCCAGGCGCCCCTAGATTTATCTTTTATAAGATAATGCAAAGCATGGAAATGAAACAAAAAATAAGGAACAATCAATTCTCATCTATAATCACATCCATAAAAGATGAAACTTGTATCATCTACTACTGTGTTATACAATACCTAATCAGAATAATTTTTAGTAGAAAATGTCAGAACTGTGAAATCTAATTCAAGTTTAATTTCTTCTCAAAGTAGTTTAAAAAAGCAATGTCAGGGGCACCTGGGTGGCTCAGGTGGACAAATAATTGTTGCGCTGAAAATCACCCAACTGCAACTTCAGTCGTTTAAGCATCTGCCTTCAGCTCA